GTCCGGGGGCTCCCCCAGTCGATACCCGTTACCCGACCCGAATCTATCCGTAAAATTTACGGATTCATATTTCAAAATTAAAACCCGTTTCAGATCAACAAGACCCTAAACATTACGGACCAAATTACAGACTTGAGCCGATCCGTCGATTCAATTAAGATTTTAATTATATATACGTATAATATATAGGCAAATATATTATATATATATATATATATATATCTATTGAATATGTGTTTCTAAGTTATTTTTTATAAGTTAATTTTTTTTTTCAAATATTCAAATCCAAAGACCGACCCAAATCTGTGCTAAAGTTTATAGAATCGAGTTTCGGGTTAAAAAAATTTAGGTTTATTTATGTTTCAGCCGTGCCATCGATCCGACTATTTTTGACAAATTTAATTATCGTGATTTGAAGCTATAAGTAAATGATTGTGAACAAAAAAAAAAGTTTCATGCGAAAATTATCGTTTCTTTTCCTAATTAATCCCATTGAAATTGAAGTTTGGATCAGAAATTAACCAGAGTGGGCAGAACTCGAATCGCGTTAGGATTCTTGAGCTGATGACGTCAGGAATGATGAAAGCATATCAACGACACAGAGAAAACGACAAAAATTGGATTGCATACGATTTTTGTCACTACCACCGGAAGTGGTATACATTTTAATGCTATATAACTCCAAAACATCATTCTTTTTTCACACAATAAAAAAAATAATATATATATATAAAAATAAACGAGTGTTTCGGTTAGGTTTTTCGAAATCAAATTAGATCGAACCTTAAAATTCGATATCATTTCTAAATCGAAAAGTTCAAAAATCCCGAACGATAATGTTTTTATAAAACCAAACCGAATCGAATATTGAAAACTCTGAAAAAAAACTAAAAATTTATTAACAAACATATACATTTTAATAAAAATAAATAAATCGAACCAAAATAGAACCAAACCGTGTAAATACGATCCCCAATAAATACGATACCGAAACCACACCTACATGTGTATATATGTGTGTATCCGTGGACTGGATTCTACTGATAAGTAAGCGTACGTTGTGTTAAATTATGGAAATTAATTATTAATTTCAGAAAATACATAAACTTTGTTTTTTTTTCCACGAGAAACACACTTCTCAAATACATCAAAATCTGTCCGGCATGTGACACGATTTGGAAGTTGGAAAACAATGTTCCTCTCGTGGGGGAGGGTGATGAATACAATTGATACCTACACATTATTACATTTATACATATTTACATTATCGGAAAATCTTTATAATTTTAAAAAAAATGAAAATGAAAATGGAGCCGGAGTTACCACAAAGAGGAGGACACGTGGAAATTATTGGAACGTGAAAGGGGTCATTGTCCTAAAAGATTGAAAGGTATGTTCCACTAATTTCAGTTTCTAGAGTGGAGTTGGGGTCTTCGGCTCGACGGTCCATCTCCCATTAGCGGATTTCAGCACGCCTTGAATCGACAGTCCGTTCGTTACACATAAAGCGTTTTCGTCCTTATACACATGTATACACGTATGTGTATGTGTGTATATATACACACGCATATGAAGCGGAATCTTAGAAAGTTCAAATTTTTGATGGTGAATATATGAAAACATGCCCAATTCCGATATTTCGAGTGGCGAAATAATTGAGGTATTAACTTATTACAGAGTATTGGTTTAGACTATCTTCCGTGGTATAAATATTTGTAACTGTTGATCAATTGGAAATAACACATAATTCCTTCCCAATCTATTTTTAAAATTTTTAAATCTCTTTACAATTCAACGTGGTGTCAGAGCCAGATTAATCTTTTTTCTGATAATTCGAGAAGGTGTTTGTATTCGGTTTGGTCCGATATTCAATTTACATTTGTCGTGGTTTGTATTCCGGATTTTATGGTTTATATTCGGTAAGCATTGTAATGGTTTGTTATCGGTTTGTTCAATATGAAAGTTAACCACTTCCATCGGGTGGAAGTGTATCAGAGAGCATTGTTTTAACATTCGGTTTATCATTTGTTTTAGACTATTTTTCATAACATAAAGATTAATAGAAAATAATACAGAAAAAAAAAAATCCAAAACTCTTTTTTCCGTTTTTGAATTCTCCATTATTCAATATAACTCTCACTTTCCCGACTTCTTCTCGAAAATTTTAAAATATAGTTGGACCGAATATACGATAAATTTTCTATTATAAAAAAATAGAAAAAATGAATCATTTATGCCGTTGGATTTGGTATAACGTTTAAAATTATAATTATTAATGGTTTATTCAACAAAGGCCCATTAACTCATTGAATATATGTGGGTTAATTTTATCGTACGGCCCATCAATTTTATAAAGGCCCAATTCAAAAAAACTGTGTTTTCATTTTTTTTTTAAATAATGAAGGCTAATTCGCTGGGCCAATTTCTAGAATCTTCTATCGTTTTTTTTTTTTGTAATTCTTGATCCTAGACGGAGGAATATGATAATTTTACATTTTATCTAAATGTGCCTAATGAAATGTAAAAAAACCATATTCGGACATTTCAATTTATTACGTGGGACTTTTAATTTTTTACCTTTTTTTAAAAAAATTACCTTTTTTATTAGGGTATTTTATCGGTCTGACGAATAACCCATGTTTCATTTATAAAATCAAAGTTCGTCGTTATAAGTGATGAACATTACAAGATACGGTCGAAGAATCCAGCAAAAAACAAAATTATCCTCTACGCGTGGCAAAATTATTATAAATCTCAATTTGTTTACGACTACAATTACATACAGACATAGTTGAGTTCGTGTTATCTATTTATTGAATGAAAATATAGACCGTGTATAATATAAGGTTTTATCTTCGTCCAGTATGTTATATACGAGATTAATAATAAATAGAGAACAAATAAATATGGACCGTATCTCAATGAATTAAGGTCTATTATAAAATTTTTCCTAATCCTACGTACATATTTTCGGTGTCTGTATTTCATAACTGGGAGTCCAAAACCTATACAGTCCGACGTCGTTTGTCTCCCCATAAAACCGACACGCAGTTCGCACACAGATTTCTCCGCCGGCACGGTATCCTCACCGCAAAACACCGGACGGGTCTAAACACGCATCGGAATATTCGAACAAGTCGTCCAACGGCACGTAGTCTACGCTGAAACCCTCACCGACCCTCAGGTCGAACGAGTCGTAACAAGGGATCACATCGTCGAACTCCCAGAACTCGCCGATCCCGGACGAGTCAGACGAGACTCGGACCAACTCGGTCAAGTACTCGTCATCCACGTTCTTCTGCGCCGCGCATGTAGCCCCCGGAGGAGGCGGAGGCAACCCAAGCTCGTCGTCGGAGGCTTCAAAAAGGTAACCCAGTTCCGGCCGAGACTCGTCCGAGTTCGACGCGGGGCACGAGGATACCTCGTCCTCGAGGCTCTTGAGAACCGAGTCGAGATCATGACTCGCCGGGTCGTGGGGCGTGCCGATCGACTCGGTCTTGACGCGCTTTCCGTCGGGCGAGTGGAGATCTGACTCGGACGGGTCATCTCGGGGCCGCTTGTTGTTGTCGTTGTCGTTGTCTGCCATGGATGAATGACGACGAGAGGGGGCAGAGTTGAGGATAGCGAAAAAAGGCAGGGGCAAAATGGGAATTTGGAAGAAGCGAGTGGTGAGGGGGTGGGTAAAGGGGAACAAGAGCTTATATAGTGGAGACCATTTAGAGAGAGAGAGAAGAGAGAGAAAGGAAGGGAGTGAGTGTCGATGCAGACAATGGCGCGTGGGTTTTGCGATTCCTTAGGCCCATTAAAACACGGACTTCCCGCCTTTCTTTCTTTCATTATTTTTTCTAATTCATTTATTTATTTCCCCATATTTTTTAATTCCTTTTTTGACTTTTTCTTTTCAGATTTATTTAATTGAACAAACCTTTTTCAAAAAATTTAAAAATAAAAGGAGAGAGTACACAGTATTCGCATTAAAATTATTTATTTATTATTTATTTGGCAAAAGGGGAGCCACTGAATCATTAATATATTGGATGTCGACATGCCTTGAAAGTTTCGCAGAGTATCATGACGAGTTTCACAACTTCCTACGTATAATTAATTATTAGGGAAATATTCATTCCATGTGATAAGTTCTGAATATCTAATTAAATAATTAATTTAGGGATTTTTTAATTATAAAAAATGGTAATCCCTATGTCCATACTCTGAAAACAAATTGGCCGATTTTACTTAAACCGGATTACGCTTCATTAACTATTCTTGTAACTCATCCTCATTATTCACAGTTATTCAATTTTTTAATGGGCTACTATATAAAATTCATTTCTTATTTTATTTAAACTGTTTGTTTTAATATTTGTTGTTATATATTTACCGATTCGTTTCAAAATCCTTATTTTTTTTAAATAACTTTCAATTTTTTTTTGGCTTATTCGGACAAGATTTTTTTTTAAAATTGAATGATTCACAACAAATCAGGATCCAAATTTGAGCGAATTCTTTGGACATTTTTTGTGGCCTAAATATTCAATATTTTATTTTGTTTTTCTTTTCTTTTTTCAATTTGAAAGGGGGCTATGTTTTTCTATTATTCTCGATAAGAAGTATACTGTCCAAATATTTTATTACTCGAAAGCATACATCTAATATAAAATTTGAATTCTTTTTTTTTTTAAGATTTAACCGAACTGAGCAGACGTTCGCATAATAAAATAAACATTTTCGCCATTAAAAAAAAATAATCGGTATCGTTTTAAATATTTGAATATTTATCTCATATATTAAATATATGAATATGTTACTTGTTTCCACAATTTTATTTCTAAATATATATAGTGTTTTTCGCTTAAATGTGAATAGCATGTATTTATATAGACTTTTAAATGTGGTTAGGATTAAACACTCGTTGTCGTGTCAATGCGTAATTCGTCGAGATTAGTATTCGTTTATATCATAATTTAATTTAGTATAAGATGGAGTTTTTCAAAATTTCTCCTTCTAGCATCTTATCCTTTGTTTGCTTCGTCAATCGTGTGATTTATTTTAGAATATTCTATATGTTATCCAGAGGGTTTAGACTAAAATTCAAATTATTTTAGACCAAAAAACTATATATGAAACATCAATTTTGTTTTATCGACTCAATAATAATAATAATAATAATAATAATAATAATAATACTTGGCATGGGGTTTTCCTCGTTGCTTTGGAACGTTGAAACTTGAAAGTCTGCTTTGTCCGTTTCACTTTCGAAAAAAGGAATTTAAAAATAAATCGTTTTGAATAATGACGTCAAAAGGAAATTAAATTGTATTGAATTCCACATTGGAGTCCGGGGCTGATGCAGTCGACCCATTTGGGCCCAGTCAACCACTCTCCCGAATTTCCCATTTTGCCCCTCATTGGCCCACAACTCGAAGCTATCTCAAAGCCATCAGATTTCCGTTTTTATTTCACCAAGAACGAGCGTTTTTAAATTATTTATTAATTCGTGAAAAGCTTTATTTATTTAATAATTTTTTAAATATATTTAGAACCTGATAATTTTTAATATAACACCTATTATACTGGAAAATACATTCAAAACATTTGAAATAACATTTTGCCCTACCATGAAATACTGTACAAACAAATCAAATCATATTTGCATTTAAATTTAATATTTTTCATGAATTTATTCGGCTCGAGTTTTAGTGGTAGCCGGAATAATGATTATGGCTCGGCTCGGCTCGGCTACAACGTTCTTGAAGACAACACAAAAATACATGGAAATCGTATGGTCATAAAGACTTTTCAATCAAAACCCTATTTCAAATCTGATCCGTTGATTTTATTCTGCCGTACCTTTGTGTCCGCGACAAAAATAATAATAATAATAAAGGAACAAAATAAAATGCATACCATATTTAAATTTTATTTTTTTATATAATTAAAATCCATTAGGTACTTAGGAACAAAAAACAGTATATTATTTCGACACAAAATAAAATTAAACGCCGGAGTTATTTCGCCTAATTTGGTTGGGATGTGTTTTTATGTATATTCAGTGTCTGAACTTTGTTTATCACACATTAACAAAAAATAAATAAATTGTTTATTAAATGCAACGAGCCTCCTAAATAATAATAATAATAATTTATTTGATACATATCTTTCTGAAAAAAATGATAAAATAAAACTTTAATAAATAGTTTTAAAAACATGGACAAAAATCGAAAGTGTTGTCTAACCTTGTGCATGTATGTATGCCCATAATACGCAAGCACTGAAAATATCATTCTAATTTCTACGAGCCGAACGGTTTATAATATTTTTATATTACAAAACTGCTTAATTTTAAATATTCATAACATCTGTATGTTTATTTGATATATTTTGGAAATGAAATCGAGATATTAAAATAAATTTTTATATAGCCATCAATTATTAAAAAAAAATACAAAATAAAACAGAGGAAATGTGTGAAGAGAAAAAAGAGAGGAGAAGATTGCGGGAGTGGGGGCGATGTGTAAGCGGTGGGTTCCCGTGGCCCTTTCCTTTTATCATCTAACGTCTTCCTCCTTTATTTATTATGGTCGTATTTCTTTTTTTACCCGCATTATTTAATATATAATTATAACGAAAATTACTTATTTTGATATTTAATACGCATTAACTCGAATATTCGAACCTAAAATCGTATGCAAAGGGAACAATCCCTACACATAAATATATTGATAATATAAATGAAAAAATATTTTAATGTTTAATATGGTTACAACTCTGCAATTTTAAAATTTATTTACAAGGAGTTATATAATTTTGATGAGGTGGAGTGTCTAAAACCCTAATTATGGTACGCATTTATCTCACGTGAATAGCCCTATATATCATCACTCAATGAATAAACTATTATATAAACAGATTAATTTAACTAAATAATGACAACTTATTTATTTCCAAATTATAATGATAAAAATATATAGTTTTGAGTTGAGATCCTTTCTCTCGTATATCCCTGTTAGTTTCATGGCGGTGGTTATTAATTAAATTTTTTTTACCAACTGAATATCCTAGATCGAAGTCCACCTAATATTGAAATTACGTTCCTCTCTCTAATTTGAAGTTCGAATTAAAGATAGAACATACGATTTGCATCCCATTTTATCGGTTGAATTATTTAAATTAGGTTGTTATTAATTAAATTAATACATGTTAGACCATAAATTATTATTATATGCACGTGTATGACATGTTGTGAACATTAAAACATACTAAATGATTATATACAATCAAGCTGTTTTTCCTTCCGTATAATGCATATTATATTTAATATTTTAATTCAGGATTGTACCAAGATAAATTACATATTTAATTGTAAGAATTGTGAAGATAAGTTGTACGGTGAGAAACCTCTGACATGCCCACAGGCCACAGATACGATGATTTTTTTTTTTTTTTGTAATGATAGGTCATGTTCTGAGATTGAATAAGTCTTGTTTATTTTATAAACTTGTAGAATATCTTTTTTAAAATATTTCTTATATAAATTTCGGATGGCGTATAACCATAGATATACGTTTGCCCATGAAGGTTTGTCCAAAATATCTCTGTAATCTACATATATATATAAAATATATATATATATATATATATATAGTTGCCTTGGCCAAACAAAAAATAATAATAATCGGTGATATTAGATATGTGAGATGGAAATAATCCACGTCAGCTGCTAGAGAACGAGACGTGACGTTTACGATTGGCGAACATTTATAATTATTAATGCGATGTTAAAATGATATCATCCAACGGCAGTCCTTATCGGACAGGCATTGGTTGGTGATCCAACGGCAGAGATAAATACAGGGGTTCTTATTTTCGTGTACCTACCGATATTAAATAGTGAACAACGTGATTGTTAGATATTTCCGCATTTTTTATTTTTGTTTTTTTTTTGCTCCAGTAAATCGAAATACTCCAAAACGTCGTTTTATTGCGAATTGCGTCGGTCCATATTTATAAAATAATATTTGAAATATAAAATAACCGAATTTGTTTATTGCAAATTCGTAATCACCCAAACAACTACTTATATATATGATATATACTATGTGTTCCTGTCCGTAATTTATTGTCTGCCATAAAAAGGAAGCATATCTTTATTGATATGGTATTGTAAATTCTCAATATACGTACATATATATATATATATATATATTGATAGTGGATTATTTATTGTAGTTATTATCGTTATTTATTTTATTTATAAGACTATTTTTTGGAATAATTAAAACGAGTAACTCGGAGATCTATAAGATATATTGTCATGAGGCATCCCATGTGCCACGTGGCACAGGGCACGACAGGCTAAGAGATGGCATCCAAAGACAATTTTGTCCCTTCACTTTATGGTTTATGCGAACGAAAGTACGAACAATATATACATATATATATGTATGGACGGTCGTTTGGGTAATGAGTCCGAATTTTAAAAAAAAAAGTTTTAATGGCTTCGGCATTTAAAAAAACGTTTACCAATAATAAGGGCTTTCAATAAATTTCCATGTGATATGTGCTTTTGTTACAAGGTTTGGGAAT